AAGGAAACAAGACCCATCTATGTGCTGCCAACAGGAGACTCACTTCAGACCCAAAGACATACAGAGACTAAAACTGAAGGCATAGAAAAAGATATTTCATGCAACTAACAGGGAGCGAAAAGCCGATGTTGCAGTACTTGTATCAGACAAAATAGACTTTAAAACAAAGAAAGTCACAAGCGACAAAGAAGGACATTACATAATGATGAAGGGGTCAGTCCAACAAGAGGATATAACCACTATAAATATCTGTGCACCCAACATAGGAGCACCGTAAATATGCAAAACAAATACTACCAGAATTAAAGGAAGAAATAGATTGCAATACATACTTTAACACACCACTCACATCAATAGACAGATCAACCACACAGAAGATAAGTAAGGAAACAGATCAACAAGAGAGAAAATAATCAAGGAAACAGAGGCACTGAACAATACATTAGATCAAGTGGATTTAACAGATACCTATAAACACTCCACCCAAAAGCAGCAGGATACACATTTACCCAAGTGTACATGGAACATTCTCCAGAATAGATCACATACTAGGTCACAAGAAGAGCCTCAATAAATTCAAAAAGATTGAAATTGTATCAGGCAGATTTCAGACCATAGTGCTATGAAACTGGAAATAAATTACACAAAAAAACAAAAAGACTTACAAACACATAGAGGCTAAACAATGTGCTTCTAAATAATCAATAGATCAATGAATAAATTAAAGCAGAAATCAAGCAATACATAGAGAAAAATGAAAAGAAAAATACAACAGCCCATAACATGTGGGACATGGCAAAGGCATTTCTAAGAGGAAAGTATGTAGCAACACAGGCTTACCTCAAGAAACAAGAACAATCCCAAATAAACAGTCTAAAATCCCAATTAGAGAAACTAGATAAAGAAGAACAAATGAAATCCAAAGTCAGTAGGAGTAGGGACATAATAAAGATCAGAGCAGAAATAAATAAAATCGAGAAGAATAAAACAATAGAAAAAATTAATGAAACCAAGAACTGGTTCATTGAGAAAATAAACAAAGTAGATAAACTCCTAGCCAGACTTATCATGAAAAAAAGAGGGTCTACACACATAAACAGAATCAGAAATGAGAAAGGAAAAATCATTATGGACACCACCAAAATACAAAGAAATATGAGAAAATACTAGGAAAAATTTTATGCTAACAAACTGGATAACTGAGAAGAAATGAACGACTTTTAATAAAAATACAATCTTCCAAGACTGATCCAGGAAGAAACAGAAAATCTGAACAGACCAATTACCAGCAATGAAATTGAATCAGTAATAAAAAAATTACCCAAGAACAAAACCTCTGGATCAAAACCAGATGGCTCCACCACTGAATTTTATCAGACATTTAGAAAAGACCAAATACCCATCCTCCTTAAAGCTTTCCGAAAAGTAGAAGAGGGAATACTTCCAAACTCATTCTATGAAGCCAGCATTACTCTAATACCAAAGGCAGGCAAAGACACCACAACAAAAGGAAATTGCAGACCAATATCTCTGATGAACACAGATGAAAAAATCCTCAACAAAATATTAGCAACCTGAATTCAAAAATATATCAGAAAGATCATCCATCATGACCAAGAGGGATTTGTTCCAGGAATGCAAGGGTGGTACAATATTTGTAAATCAATCAATACCATATACCACATAAAAAAAGGAGGATATGAAGGACAAAATCACATGATCATCTCAATAGATGCTGAAAAAGCATTCAACAAAATTCAACATCCATTTATGATAAAAACTCTCAACAAAATGGTAAGTACTTCAACATAATAAAGGCCATATATGACAAACCCACCGCCAACATCATACTTAACAGGGAAAAGCTGAAAGCTTTTCTTCTAAGATCAGAAACAAGACAAGGATGCCCATTCTCCCCACTTTTATTCAACATAGTACTGGAGGTCCTAGCCATGGCAATCAGACAACACAAAGAGATAAAAGGCGTCCAAATTGGTAAGGAAGAAATTGAATTGTCATTGTTCTCAGGCAACATGATATTATAAATAGAAAACCCTAAAGACTCCACTAAAAACTACTAGAACTAATACCTGAATTCAGCAAAGTTGCAGAATACAAAATTAATACACAGAAATCTGTTGCATTCCTATATATGAAAAAAGAACTAGCAGAAGGAGAAATCAGGAAAACAATTCCATTCACAATTGCATCAAAAAGAATAAAATACCTAGGAATAAACCTAACCAAGGAAGTGAAAAACCTATACCCTGAAAACTACAAGACACTCTTAAGAGAAACTAAAGAGGACACTAACAAATGGAAACTCATCCCATACTCTTGGCTAGGAAGAATTAATATTGTCAAAATGGCCATCCTGCCCAAAGCAATATACAGATTCAATGCAATCCCTATCAAAATACCAACAGCAGTCTTCAATGAACTAGAACAAATAGTTCTAAAATTCCTATGGAACCACAAAAGACTCCAATAGTGAAAGCAATCCTGAAAAAGAAGAACAAAGCTGGGGGATTATGCTCCCCAACTTCAAGCTCTAATATACAGCCACAGTAATCAAGACAATTTGGTACTGGCAGAAGAACAGACCAATAGATCAATGGAACAGAATAGAGACCCCAGATATAAACCATGCATATATGATCAATTAATATATGATAAAGGAGGCATGAAAATACAATGGGAAAAAGACAGCCTTTTCAACAACTGGTGTAGGCAAAACTGGACAGCTTCATGTAAGAGAATGAAACTAGATTATTGTCTAACTCCATACATAAAAGTAAACTCCAAATGGATCAAAGACCTGTGTGTAACTTATGAAACCATAAAACTCTTAGAAGAAAACTTAGGCAAAAACATCACTTGAACAATTTTTTCCTGGACACATGTCAGGCAACAGAAACAAAATAAAAAATGAACATGTCGGACTGCATCAAACTAAAAATCTTCTGTACAGCAAAGCACACCAACAGTAGAACAAAAAGGCATCCTATGGTATGGGAAAATATATTTGTAAATGACTCATCTGATAAGAGGTTAACATCCAAAATATATAAAGAATTCACACACTTCAACACCCAAGAAAAATAACCCTATTAAAAAATGCACAGAGGACCTGAATAGACATTTTTCTGAAAAAATACAGATGGCCAACAGGCACATGAAAAGATGCTCCATGTTGTTGAAATCAGGAAATGCAAATTAAAACCACAGTGAGATATCACCTCACACCAGTTAGAATGGCCAACATCCAAAAGACAAGAAATAATAAATGCTGGTGAGGGTGCGGAGAAATAGGAACCCTCCTTCACTGTTGGTGAGACTGCAAATTGATGCAACCACTATGGAAAACAGTATGGGGGTTCCTCAAAATACTAAAAATTGAAATACCATTTGACCCATAAATCCACTCCTAGGAATTTACCTGAAGAAAAAAAATACCTGATTCAAAAAGATATATTCACCCTTATGTTCATTGCTGCACTGTTTGCATTAGTCAAAATATGGAAGTAACCTAAGTGTTAGGTTACTGGATAAAGAAGAGGTGGTACATATACACAATGGAATACTATTCATCCATAAAAAGAAAAGAAATCCTTCCATTTGCAACAACATGGATGGATCTAGAGGGTATTATGCTCAGTGAAATAAGCCAGGCAGAGGAAGACAAATACCATATGATTTCACTTATTCATGGAATATAAAAACAAAGCAAATCAGAAGGAACAAAACAGCAGTACACTCATAGACACTGATAAGTGACTAGTGGTTACCAAGGCGGAGGGGTGTGGGCGCAGGCAGGGTGGATGGGTGCTGTTGAACACTGTGGTGTACATTTGATAAAATAAAAAATAAAAATAAAAATAAAGAATCTGTAAGGGACAGGAACCATATATTCCTTATCTTTGTATGTACCAAATAAAGTGGTTTATTCATAATATGAGCTCAGCATACATGGGCTGAGTTGATTTTCTTCATCAGCTCTCCTGACAAATTTCTCAACAGTCAGAGTTCATCCATATTGGGATGGCCTTCCTTTGAGAGAGCAAGCTCTAGACACTGAAAATGTTCAAACAGGGCAGGGAGTGCATAGAGGAAATTCCTGAACTGATGAGAAGGCTGGACTAAACGTCCTTTAACAGCGTTTCCAACTCAGTCTATGGTTTTAGAAGTCTCACAGCACTGGGAAGGCAGCATAGTATAGTGGCTGAGAGTATGGGATCTGGAACCAGACTGTTAAGGTATAACTTCTGACTCTGATGCTCACTCACTTTATGGCCCTGGGCAAATATTTAATTTCTCAGTCTCAATTTCTTCCTCTGTGAAATGGGGATAAAAATTGACCTATGCATAAAGTTGTTGAAGATTAAATAAGTTAATACATCAAGCACCAGTACCTGACACAGAGCTAAAAACTATACAAATGTTTTTCAAATAAATAAAATATATGATTTCTCCTCTCTGCCCCATTCACTTTGTCCCTTTATATTTTGAAATCCAAAACTGAAGCTTTAAAAAAGCCTGGACCAAAGTGTAAGCCAAAGGAAGACTAACTTTGCAGCTCTAATCCATACAGTTCCCAATACTATGACCCCATATGCTTGGATCTTAGATGGCTTGCCCTTTGGATGGCTTTCCAAAGATCTTTTGCCAATCTGAAATTCCAGGACCCTACTTCAGAACCCAGGGAGTGGTAGGAACATCCCAGCTCCTTAGTTGATTTCTTGGTCAGTGCTGGGATTGCTCTAGCAATGAGGGATGTAAGATGTACTTTCTGGTTTACAAGACAGGCAGTAAACCTAAATTTCAGTCAACGCAGTGCGTTGGCTAGACCAATCATATACTTCACCTGCATTTAACCTGTCAGTAAGAGCCCACTTCAGCCTGGCTGACTTCTTAAACAATAGCATTACTGTGAGGGTCAAGGAAAAGACAGCAAGTCTGGTGACTGTGAAAGAACAAAAGCTCCCTCAAATCAGACATACCTGAGTTCAAATCCTGGCTCTGCCTGACATTGTGTCTCCTTCAGGAAGTCAGATCATGTAAGCTCAGTCTTTTCTGTAAAAGGCAATAAGAATCTCACAAAGTTATTATAAGGATTAAATATAGTGATGTAAGTAAAATATTTAGCACATAAAGCCTCAATGGAACCATACTTGCCCGCATTCAACATGCCTTCCCCCAGATGTATATGAACATTACCTCGTTTCTGGATACCCCTATTATGACAAGAAGCCAAGAGATGTGAAATAACAGGTTGACTTAACTGCAAACAGAAGTTTACATTATCTCACTGCTGCTCCAAGATTCAACATTTACATGAATAAAATAATTTTTGCCCCTGCAAAATACTTTCAAAACAAGTATGATGAGTTCAGACTTCTCCCCTCCAAAAATTTCACTGTGCAATGGAAGTGGTTTATTGTTGTGTGCATTTTATTCATTGGCAAATGTGGGGAGCCTCCCTTCATTGGTCCTTCCTTCAGCCCTGCCTTTGCCCGTCATGCTTTGGGTGATGACAGGCATTAGTCCCACCTCTCAAATGGAGAAATGAAACCAAAAGAAGTGTCTGGCCCAAGGTCACAGACTGTGTGTTTAGTGGAGCTGGGAATAATTGGAGATTATAAAAGAACTGAAAGAACCAGAGATGTCTAATTTGAAATAGAGAATATTCAGGGAGTACAATAGCTGTATTTTAGCAATCACCATCCCCATTCACCCTTTCTGCAGAGCCTCTTCTTCCAGACCTCTATACAGGAAGCACCTAACCACTTCTTCTAGACCTTTAATGCAGGAGAGAGAAAGGAGACTAATAGGCAGAAACAGTTTAGCTTCACTACCAAGAAACACAGGCATCACTCTCTGATTAGGCCTCAATCTGTCAGAGACAGGTCCCAAAGCCAGGAAATGCCATCTAATTCTAAAACCCCAACCTGTAATCCAGACAAGGGTATGGAAGACCCATGACAAAAACTCAGCATAGTTCCAAGTAACTTATTCATAAGGGGAGAATGCACTTTTGGTTCTCAACCCTGCCTGAGCAGCAGAATCACGTAGGGATTAAAAACAGGGATTTCCTGGGCCCCCACTCCAGAATCTATGTTTTAAACAAGTGCCTCAGGGTGTGTAGCCAGGGATGAAAAGTCCTTAACAGAGTAGTTCTAAAGCTTGAGCATGAATTGGAATGACCTGGAAGCCTTTTCAAAACACCGATTGCCGAGTTCCACCCCCAGAGTTTTAGATTCATTTGCTCTGGACAGGGGCCCAAGAATTTGAATATCCCCTAGGTTCCCAAATGATGTTAATGTTCCTGGTCCAGAGACTACACACTCTGTGAACAAGTGGCATAGCCTGAGTTTGTCTTCTGTGTCAGACAGTTCCCATGGCCTCTTTATCAGCTTGTCCCCACATGGAATAACTGCTGAGGGAATTGGAACTAGCCCCAGCTGTCAGTTATCAAGTCAGTTTCTACCCTGTGTATCACTACAGGAAACTATCAGTTCACAACCTCCCAAGGTCACCATAGCTAAGCAGAGGTTGACACAAACACCTGAAGCCACCTGCTTCATAATGTAAAAGTTTGCCTCAACAACTCCTGGTCCCTGCAAGGCAGGCCTGGCCCAGCAGGGAGTAGCAGTCTGACTTCACTATTTTGCTAGGGCCTACCTAATAGAGAGTGCAACTGGGGGAACTGTGTCTTCATGCAGATACACCAACACCCAAATGGAACTATTTTCCAGCAGGAGATAAGCTTAACTCTAAGAACAGAAGCCTAATCTTATAATATTTGTGAGAGTATCATGCCTCAGTAGAACTCTTGAGCTTCTTTTCCGAGTCTGATAACCTCACTGCTTTTACCCAATATCCTTCAAAGGCATTCCTGAGCTTGTACAAAGGGGCAAGGACTAAGGAACTTTTCCTCCTAAAATATGGGGGAAAGTGCTAGTGAGAGTTTTTAGAAAATGGGGTTTTGTGACTCACAGAGCCCAAGAGTATGACACTCCCTCAAATAATACTCCATATCATCTGTGAAAAGGCATTCTAACAAATTGTTTCAGTTGAATGCTTTCCATGAATCAAACTGTACATAGCTTGTGATTATTACTATTAATAATACTGTATGCTTGCTCCATGAAATTGGGAGGAATGGATGCTTTCTTTTCTACTCTTGGAAGTTTCTTGACAACACTATTATTTGAAAATTCAGCTGGGTATGGAGGAGATGTAAGAGGAGGTGATCCACAGCATATGCTCTAGTCTGAGGGGTCAGTGGGACTGGATGCCCATAAAAATACCTCAAAATTGCTTAGCACTTTACAATCTACAATCCTGTCACATAATTCTCTGTGAAGTTATACAGAAGTGGAAAGGAGGCCCACAAAAGTAGTATGACTTTGCACCTAAATAAGTAGTATGTATGACTGAGACTCAAACCCAGGCCTCTGGATCCAAAAATCCAGTGCTCTCACCACCTCAGCACAGGTGGAGCAAACACAGACCTTCATACCTGCTTTCCAAAGCCTACTGCATGGACTTTGGGAATTACAGACCCTGAGTGCTATCTAGACTTCTACCCCTCTTCTGAGGTGTGATAAAACCCAATTGAGAACTGCTGCAGTGGTCAAAATGAAAATGAATTCTAAACTTACACATGCTACCTTCGAGGGCTTATTAGACTGAGATGGCAGTACATTTTTAAAGCACTGAGATAGTTTTCACAGAATATACTGCCCAGTGGTTACACCAGCACCCAATTTAGGATGTACATGGGAATCCCAAATTCATTTCTTCCCCAGTTTTGAGATATAACTGACATATGACATTGTATAAATTTAAGGTATACAGCACAATGAATGTATTGTGAAATTATTACCACATAAGTTAACATCCATCACCTCACAGTTATAATTTTTTTCTAGTGATGAGAACTTCTAAGATCTACTCTCCTAGAAACTTTCAAATATACAATACTGTATCATTAGTTATAGTCATCATGTTGTACATTACATCCCCAGAACTTATCTTACAACTGGAAGTTTGTACCTTTTGACCACCTTTACGTAATTCTCCCATGCCCACTCCCACCTCTGGCAACAAATCTGAACTCTGTTTCTATGATCTGGTTTTTTCAGATTTCACATAGCAAAATCATACAGTATTTGGCTGACTTATTTCACTTAGCATAATGACCTCAAGGTCCATTCTTTATGTTGTTGCAAGTGGCAGNTTTTTCTGTATTGCAATTCAGGAGTAAAGAGTGATTAGGGAAACTGATTAAATAGAGGAATGAAACCCAGTAAGGTTTTCTGTAAGGTAACCAAGACTTGTGATAACCAAAGAATTTAAAAAGTAATGAACTCAGCTGTGGATTTATTTAGGCTTATTATGGTCCATGGCAGTTCATTTTGTACCAAAAGAACACAAACATGGCTGGCATGAAAACTTATTGCAACAGGAGGCCACATGGAGACAATGGTTCAGCTCTCAGTTACTGCTTATGTTTTACTGAACAATATATATACCATATTTCCTTTATCCACTCATCCATTGCTGGACACTTAGGCTGTTTCTATATGTGGGTTACTGTGAGTAATGTTACAATGAACATGTGGGTGCAGGTATCTCTTCAGATCTTAAATTCTTAAGAGCTGCTTAAGTCATTGGGTATAGGTGGAAAGGTGTAAGCAGTAAGGAACAAGGCTTGTTGGGTGATATGAAAAGAAATGCTATGCCACCTCCATGTAATAACATTATCTATAGTGGAATTTGTTCATGAGCTACTTTGAAGTAAAAATTATTTTCCTGATCCCTTAGTCTCTACCAATGTCATATATATCTTGGTACCATTCTGAGAAGTGATTTCTTCCTGTAATTCTCTGTATATTGATGGGATGCAATCAAAAGTCAAGGTAAACAACATGCCTGTGAGAAGCTCTTCGTGTATGTTCCTGTTGCTCATCTCTCTGTAGTTAGATTTTTCTCTAAAATAAGAAATATCTCTCTTGGGAAACTTCAAAACCTCAAGATGATTGCTCTGAGCTCTTAGGACATGTGACCAAAAGCAAAAACCATTTTCTTCCTCTTCAGACCTCATCATTTTTTGTGTGGGGGGGAACTGAGGGACCTTCCTCAGAAGTGCCAACATCCTGCTTGGTGTGTGTTGCAAAACAAACAGGTTTGCCTTCTTCCAGTCACAAGTTCCTCCAGACTTCTTGCTCCCTGGGATCTCCTGGGATTGTCTAGCTGTTCGAGCCCTGTGTTGAGAGCAATTCCAGCCAATGTGCCTGGAATTGCACATGTGGAGTGGTATGGAGAGGCCCCCTAACCCTCTTTCCTTCCTGAAACTGGTATGCTTCCTCTTCCTCTAGGTCCCAGCTGTGTTTGAGCCTTGTGGTAAGGCTGTCTGATACTGCTTACTTCTCCTCTGACTCATTTCTACCACAAATTTCATTTGCCTACTTGAAGGATTTCTCACATTGTCCTTCATTTTTCTTGGTTTGAGGTACAGAGTTTGTTTCTTTCCCCTAATGAAAGCCAAGAAAAGCTTTTTAAGAGATTGAATCCTGAAGCTGCCACACTGTCAAGAAATTATTCAAAACAATTATGAGAGGGTGGGAAGAAACATCACAAAAACCCATTTACAGGGCTAGCCCTTGGCAGAACTGAGGAATTTCTAGGTAGGTCTTGGTGGTTTAACCTTGGTACTCTCTCCTTCACCTATCTCTAGAGTATCAGGGGCCAAGATTGCCTTCCATTATGTGTGTCACACTCCAGCAACTTGGGAACCCGCCCTCCTTTGATAGACCATGTTCCTCACTTTTAAGTATTGAAGCCATGAGTTTTCAGGAGAGGTGTAACTTAGAAAAAAAGATACAAGAATACTGTATTTTGCAATAAAATGATAATGGGAAGGGGATGGAATACCCCTGGACAAAGTTGTTGAGTTTTTTATTTTGCTTTGTTTTGGGGCGGTGGGGAGGTTGTCTTGTTTTGTTTTGTTTTTGTGCATAAAGAAATATCCCTTAGCAGGATCTCTGAGGCTTGTGGAAATACTCTCTTTGTGAAGGACTCTCCTTTGCCTTTTTCAATATTCTCATTCCCTCTCTTGTTTTCAAATAATAGTAGCTCTCATAATATAAGTTGGTCATGGGGATGGCAGTACAGCATGGAGAATATAGACAATGATTCTGTAACATCTTCCTATGTTGACAGATAGTGACTGCACTAAGCTGGGGTGAGAATATGACAATGTCGGTAACTGTTGAACCACTGTGTTGTATGCTTGAAACCAATAAAAGATTGTATGTCAACTATACTTAGGTAAATAATAATAGCTAATGGCAAAAGTTAACATTTATCATGTGCCAGGCCTTGTAATAAATGATTTATATGTATT